TAACAATAACAACACTGGTTTGTACACATGGTCCCCGCAAACAATTAAGCTAATTTAGCTAAAGTGTTTTTGAGTTTATGAGATCTAAATGTGCTCATATCTCTCTATTTTTCTCCACCTGTGTCTCTCTGGCTCAGAGCTCATCTATAAAGAGGTGATGAACTTCGAGGAGAGAACAAAGAATGGTGTGGTGAAGGGACAGCCCTCTCCCTCAGGTACTCTCTGTGCATAAGCTGTGCTTCTGTAAGTCAATTTAAAGTGATTTCAGCTGTTTATGAGAAACCCTCCCATTGTGACTGCTCCATTTGTCCCTGTCCCCCCTCATCTCGTCCGTGTGACTCAAACAGAACACGTCTTGAGTGTGATTACGTGCTGGTTTTTAATGTTATTTTGAAACTGTTTTTGTCTGTTGTAGTCTTTTTATTAATTAAAGGTGCTGTAAGTGTTTTCAGCCACTGCTTTCCACTAAAAATCAAAACTCTATAAAACCCTGCCCACAAAGACATGGCAACGGAAGTACACAGTGATTGACTGGCAGAGAGTGTTTCTGATTGGCTAAAAAAACATGGGTCTCCCCCAAAGGTTTGTGCTCAGAAAGTTGTGAATTATTAGAACCTTGTCAGCTTTAAAAAAGCACTTTATCTGTATTTATTTTAGCCTATTTTCCACTTAAAGAGTTACACTTGACCCTTCGCTAAGCCCCGCCTTAAAGAGGTCACTGACCAATCCTATTTTAGCAACTGTTGCCATCCAATATTCTATATTCAAAAAGCTTAGTCTCTTTTATTATGTAAATCAGTGGAGGATCTGTGAGATTTACACTCAATTTTATGGAAAACATAAAAAAATAAAATAGTTATTTTTCATGAAAATCAGTAAGAACACCTGTAATCACTTTCAAATTATACATAATAATACATATAAATGTAAATTTTTTTTCAGTTGACTCTGGGAAGTTTTTGCTTTTGGATTCTAGAGTTTATGCACTTGTTACTCTGTAATTCAACATTTTTTAAAGACAAATGGCTGAAAAGGAAACTGCTTTGCAGTGTCAGTTTATTCCAGCCCACATTAAAATAAGACCCAATTATTTTTTTACCAACAAATCTTTTATGTTCTGTAATGCTTGCTTGAGTTGGCAACTGTAACCAAGAGGTGGAGCTTAGCGAAGGGGATTTTTTTTGTCTTTACATTATGTAAAGAAACCATAAATAAATAAACCATAATGTAAATACATGCTACAGGAATGTAAAAATCACCAAGTAATGGTATAATAAAAAAGATTAAGCAAATTAATGCTTGGGTTTAAAACTAAAATGTTGAGAACTGATGTGTTAATGTTTAAAAAGGTATTTGTATATGATTTTATATTGTCTATTTGCCACTGTATCACTGTAAAAAAAATTCAGTAAAATTTACGGTAAAAAACCGGCAGCTGTGGTTGCCAGAATTTTACCGTAAAAAATACGGTAGCAACGTTTTAGGTTTTACGGTTTTAACTTAAATTTACAGTTAAATACCGTCATTTCATTAACTGATATAATGTTAATATACCAACCTATTGAAGTACGTTGTGCAGGAACATACTATTGAACTGACTCAGCGAAGAGGCTTTTTCTTTGAGGTTTGTGGAATGTTGAGCTGCAGTGTCTGTGTTTGACCTGTAGAGGGCAGCACGTGTGTGCTTGTGTGTGTGTGTGTGTGTGTGTGTGTGTGTGTGTGTGTGTGTGTGTGTGTGTGTGTGCGCGCGCGCA